TAGTGGTTGCTATGTTGTTGCTTGGAGAAAAGAGCGAGGGGGTTGGAAAGGTTTTCAAAGCTTTGTGACCATGGTTGATTCATCGGCTGGTGTTGGATACACAATGACAGTATTTCCCAAAGAATGATATTCCATTTGGGATGATTCATTGGAGTAAAAATGCTTATTGAGGTTGGCAGACAGCACAAACTGGGTCATTTAAAGGAACCCATCTTATTATCACGGCTTTGCACTTAAAGCCTTAATAACAGTTGTATAGGTGACTTCTATAAATGTTACCAACTCCTGCAGGTTGTACTGAATGGTTAAATACGCCATAGAGACCAAACCCATTTGTTTGTACAAGGATGGAAAGATGTTGAATTCTGCTGTAAAGTTGGGCTTTTTTTAATATGGGCTCTAATTGGGATTTACTCAAGTGGCATTCTGAAGAATTGCAGTTTTTGGCACTTCCACATTGGCTTCATATCTACAGTAAGTCACAGAGGTTGTGACTCAGCCCTGACACACACACACACACACACAAACATGTTGCCATGTTAAAAAAAAAAAAATCATGATTGCACAGCACTCACCCATCCAGTTTGGCATGATAATAGCCGATAACAACGTTTTTGAATCTTCAATCTTGAATCTCTGGAAACAGAACTGTTCTATCGCCTGCCGCTCCTTCCTTGTGCCCTCCAACTTGCTAACATACAGCCTTCACAGTGAAGAGCTTTAAACATTTCTGCTAACAACCGTTGCTACTCTGACACTGTATTTTTTTTTGCTGTGTTCGACTGGTTATTTGATTATCCAGCTTGCCTCAGCTCCCAGCTATAATTTCATTGTGTTTACACGGGCCATGCATTCCTTTGTACTCCTTTTTTTTTTTAAGCTCAGCTGAGGTGATGACAGCCTGTCTACTACACTGCCTGCTGGATCCTCTCTGCAGTCTCTTCCAGTCATTACTCAGCTCAGAAATATGAGATAAAATGCCCCTGGAGCTCTGAAGCTCTCTGGGAGCTTACCCCATTCTCTGCATCTTCTATTGTGATATCGTGCACTCACCTCTGCGCTTCTGTTATTTACCTTTTTTGCACAGAGCATGCACTCACCTTGTTCTTTCTTCTCTCCACCGTACTTCACATCTGCTGTTTCCTGATGTCGTAGAGAGGGAGGGTTCCTGGTTAACTTAGCAACAAATCTGGTTAGTTTGAGGATTTATTGTCATCCAGCCTCTGATTCAAAAGGATGAGGGGGCTTTAGCAGGACAAGGCATGCTAAGATGCTGCCAGTGGGGATGCAATCAAGTGTGGCATCTGTCCTCCCAACGCCCACCACCGACCTCACATCACAGCGCTGTAAACTTGTGCAGTTTGGGTCATTCTCTCAATAATTACAAAGACAATTTGCCAGAATTATTTGGCTTTCTTTTACAGGTTCAGTTCTGTATTTAAATACTTATCTTTTAATAACATTTAAGGTAACCTCATGATAACCAGGGTAAGAAGGGATAGACTCGGTCTAGTTGTTTAGTCGCTGCAGGGTGAATAAAAGTGAAACTGTAACAGAGGGGATGACTGTTAATAGTTTCCGCTGCACTAATTTTAAGGCCTACTTTTAACAGCTTCTGATGTGATACTGATATAGCCAGCTTGCTCTGTTTCATCTTGTAGCTGTGAGAAAGACAATGTGTTTGTGCACCGAAGCTAAAAAAAAAACGAGTCGGCTATTTGAACATTAACGCTGACATCAAGAATACAAGATAAACTCAAGACATGTGAAAGTGGATCGCAGCCATTAAAGAACATTTGCTTAAAAAAAAAACGTCGCATGTTGTTCTTCGTTTGGAAGCTCGGACTTTGCGAGACGTACAAAAAACGAGATGTGCAGATCGTGTTGAAGATAATTCAATTACGTCAACGGAAAACATGCAAACCCACACACCCTCTTTGTCTCGCCTCGCGCCACACAACTGAACCCGTAAAGTAACGTAAAACCACACGCACTGCAAATTGCTGGAAATGATACCAGCATTTCCAGCATTTCAGCTGACCTGCAGAAGCCAGCATGTTTATTTCTACTTCTGTTTAGTATTTGTTACGTTTCGCTCCTTTAACAGGGTTTGTTAAAGGAGCGAAACGTAACAAATACTAAACAGAAGTAGAAATAAACATGCTGGCTTCTGCAGGTCTATTTGTGCAATTTAGACCGTCTCTTCTGTTGTAGGGTAAAGGCCCATTTTAAAGTATTTCATCTCAAATATCTCTCATTATCTAGTTGAACTGACTCGTGAATTCAAATGGGTCGTGCTCGCTCTCTCTCTCGCCCCCTCTCTCTCTCTCTCTAAGTATTGACATTTTTGACAACCTTTGTCCCTAGTACGAGTAAAGCATCAAAACCTTTGTACATTTCCCAGAATACAACAACAGGAAAGCCTCCCTGCTTGTTGATTAACACCCACGTCTTTCAACTTGCATACCCAAGTTTTTTTCTCCTGGTATTGACATATTTTATAAAAATATTTTTAAAATAACATTGAGATTGTCTGAGGATTTCATTATTACGGAAACTTACATTTATGTGTAATATCAAAGAGGCCACTTAATAAATCCAGTCTGTCTGTATTCAGAGAATAACAGAAACACAGTCCCCTGACTTGCAGTGTGATATGTAGGCCAGCAGTTCTGCACAGGCTAGCATATGTTGTTCAGTAATCCGTCCCTATACAGCAAAAAACAACCTCCTCTTGCGAGTTGAAAAAAATGCCGACATGGATGAAAGGCTGTTTTGTTTTGTTTGTTTTTGTTGATTCGTATATTTTCCTGCAGCTGCTCCTTCGTCGACCACGTTGCACATTGCAGCGTCAGTAGTAGGTGTCTGTGTGTGCACATGAATGACTTGTGTGCTTTCAACAGATGGCCTTTTGCTCTGAGCCCTCTGGAGGAATCTCTCCTCCTTCCCGAGGCTGTTATCTCACTACACATCTGCTGCTCTGATTCCCCGCTAAAAGAAGCCCCGGCTATCCCCACCCGGGCCGGGGCTAACCGACCCGGCAGCTCTCCAGGTCAGAAGGCTTTTAGCCGGACGGATTGCTGCTGGATTAGTTACGCATTGCCAAGAGGAATCAGTAATGTTACACACGGTGACATGGTAGTTTTTATTGTTCTGGCCCTTTGTTCATGTGGCAGACTGCTCCCTTTTTCCCCCCCTGGTTTCCCCCCCCTCACCACTACGACCAGTAATCATCTCCTCCCCTCTTACAGCAGCCTGTTATCAAAGCCCCGTGTCGTCCCTCCAGGCCGCGCTCTTTGGACTTTACGAGTGAGCAGCGTTGGTTGAGAGCCCGCAGAGATCAAACATGGTGGCTCTGTTTGGAGCTGGGCTCTTTGCCTCAGCCTGTTTGATGTATGACACGTCATTATCTCAGCTTTTCTGGTTCAGCCACTTTTTGAAACTGACAGTGTTTCGTATGGGACTCTCCATTCTAATAAGAACGAGTTACTTTGTAATTGGTAGTTGTGTGTTTGTGTTTCCACATTTAGGTTTTTGTGGGGAACAAATACTTCTCCAAACATGATGAGGTTGAGCTTGTATTAGCTCCTTTAAAGGCTTTATATGTGATTTTTCACACTTAAATGTAGAAATCAAGTATATCCTCTGAAAATAACTCTGTGAGTCATGACTGTCTACAATGGGTGTAACACCCGAGTCCCACTGTCTGTGATGTTTTCAGAGTTTTCAGAGTCCTATCTTCAGTTTGTTTACATCGCCAGGACGGCCAGCTGACTCCTCCCCCTCGAGTATAAAAGTTGTTTAATTGAGGGACTAGAGAAAAGAAGAATAACATACTGTACTCACTGCTTAACTGTGTTTCTAGATCACGCTCATTTCAGGTAAATTTACATGCAGTGTGAAGATACCAGCATAATAAAGATCGCTAGCATTAGCATGCTAACACAACAATGCAGCGCGAGTTGTTTTGGTTTCATCCTGGTGCTCAAGAGCGACATCTGCTGGATCAAAAAATGACATATAAAGCCTTTAACATATAAAAAAAGAAGAAGCACACTTCTCTTATTGGCCTGGTTAACCCAACATTTCCTTTAGACATCAGTGGTGAAGTATCTCTTATTAAAGCTTATTAAAACATAATTAAAACATAATTTGCGGCCTACTAGCAAAGCAAAAAATAAAAAACAACAACACCAAAACTAGCTTCTTGTTTTGGCTGCTAACTAGCAAGAAGCCTGTTTGGTAGCTACACTTGCCTTTTCTTTGAATTTAAATGTAACTTTTCTATTATACACATACAGATAAAAACATACTCAACCAAAACTCCTTTTTTTTTTTTTTTTTTTTTTTTTTTACAATGAAATGTTCAAGTCAAGCTTAAATATGTGCCACCAAAGTAACTTTGTAGCTACGGTAGTTAGCTTGAATCTTAGCCGTACTTTGAATCCCTAATAATAATAACAGCAGATTTTAGCAACAGCTGTGCTTCACAACATACTCTCAGATCTCTAAATGTTCTCTGTGTTGTCGCTTGTGCAGTTAGATGTTAGCGTTAGCCAACACGTGAAAGCTTGTAAAGGGAAAACCCTAGAAATCTTCTAGAGTTTGTTTGATGTGTTTCTACATATTTAAAGATTGACTTTCTTATTCCAAAATAACAGAATAACTGGCTATGCTTTGATGAATGTATGTCAGATTAATCAAGCTAACCAAGCTTCTTCAATGGTGAAACGTGGTAACGTTTCCAATATGGCTGCTTCAGGAAGTGTTACATCATCTCAAATCCGAAGAGATAGTGAGGCATCGTGAGAATGAGAGCCGGGGGCGGGGGGGTTGTCTTGCCCTCCTCTATTGGCCTGAATCCACCACAAACCTGACCTTGATACTTGGCTAGAGGATGGGTGTAAATGTTATGTTACGCTACGCTTATAATACTAACTGGGTTACGTTTTCCGTCTTTTCCTCCCTTTCCTCTCCGTTTCCCGTTTTTCTGTGCACAGGCCCAGGACAAGAGGAAAGCTCTGGAGGAGACCAAAGCCTACACCACCCAATCCCTGGCCAGCGTGGCCTACCAGATCAATGCCTTAGCCAACAATGTGCTCCAGCTGCTGGACATCCAGGCCTCGCAGCTGCGGCGCATGGAGTCCTCCATCAACCACATCTCCCAGGTCAGAACACACACCAACACACACACCAACACACACACACACACACACACCAACACACCAACACACACACACATATTTACACAAACCACAGAGCGTACAGCTGTGAAGAATGGTACCCCACATTTCCCACTTCTCCTCTTACTTTCACACAGACTCGGTTATTTTCAAACACAGTACGAGGCCTTCAGTGGAATCCATGGTTCCCCTTTTTTTTGAGGGTTTCAGTCTCTTCTGTTTGTCTTTATGTGTGTTCAGCGTAATGACTGCTTCTCTGTTTGTCCTTCTTTTATGCTCCTGTCGTTTTCAGAGTTTCACAAATATTGGAAGACATTTAGCACAATCGGTCTTTTTAGTTTTTTTAAGCCCCGTGTTTATTGCTTTGCAGTAAAGAGGAGCACCAACACAAACAGTCATGTTATTAAAGGTCTGCCAGTTTACTCGCTGTTATGTTGAGATTATATGTCGAAATATGATGCATTAACTCAAATGGGTTTAACGTGGAATAACTGTCTCAATCTCATGGTTGAATCCAAACATTTAGACTAAAAATAAGATGTTTTTTTTTTGTTAAAAACAGTATGGAGAGGAAAGGCTGCTTCCTATTTTCTTTCCCACGTCTTCTATCTGTACTTTCCTTAGTGCTCAGAGTGCCAGAAATTCTTTCAGGATACACTGAAGGTCAGATTTTTAGTCTAATGGAAGGAAAGAGGGCTTGCAAGACTCCAGGGCTTCAGAGAGAGAGAGAGAGAGAGAGAGAGAGCGAGACAGATGGATAGAGAGACGGATCCAGCAAATCAGAGGGGAGTCGGAGGGAAATTGAAGATGGATGGTGACAAGCGTAGAGAGGCAAAAGAGAGAGTCCAAAAAAAAAGAGGCATATTTACACTCCTTCAGGTTTTGAGTCAATATCCTGACAGACAGCGTTCAGCCGACACCAAGGTCACAGCGACACCACTGCCTGCCTCCGTCTCTATGACAACCCTCTGAGCCACATTAGAAAAGCATATGAAACAATGTAAGCCAAGACTAAAGTATAACCTCTCATTATCTGTGACTGACTTGGATGTCTACAACAAGTGTTAATAACTCTTTATGGACTATTTTGATCAGGGTGGCCAAACCGAGGGAACTGACTTATGCAGGGGTGGCATGTTTGTGTTCACACAGGGTATAAAGTCAAGGTGAAAATAGTTTGTGCATGTGTGAAAATGTCTATAGTTTAGGTTTTTGGGGTGCATCTGAGAGATCGCAAGTCAGATTTCAGAATCCACGTCCCGGATCCGCCCCTGCTTGCCTGGTTCACTGTTCAAGTAGAGTTGGAAATCAGGGCAAGGGGGAGCGCCGGTAGCATAGTGGTTAGTGCGCGTGCCCCATGTACGGAGGCTGTAATCCTCAAAGCGGACGGCCCGGGTTCAAACCTGACCTGTGGATCCTTTCTCGCATGTCGTTCCCCAACTCTCTCGCCCAGATTTCCGATTCCAGCCACTGTCCTGTCTCTAAATAAAGGCAGAAAAAAAATATAATTAAATACATGTTTTAAATCGGAACAAGAGAGTGGGAATGACATTCAGGAAAGATCGGCATCTAGCCAGGGCCGTCCGCTTGGAGGGCTATTGCTTTGTACGTGCGGCACGCACACTAACCACTGAGGTGCCAGCGTCTCATTTTGTTTACTTTTTGGAGAAGATGAAAAGAAACATTTCCTCCCTGATTTTCTTTCCACTGCACGAAATGCAGAAGTGGAGTTCTGAAGGTCAAACTAATTAGCTTCTTGCTGATAACCATGTATCACTTTCATCTTCCTCTTCTAGAAATCTGAATGATTTAGCAGCTTTACCTTCTCAACTGGAAAAACTAGAAGAGTCTGAATGTTTCCTGCACACACACAATCCGTTTCTCCTTCTAGTTGTTTTTCTTGATGGATTAGAAAAGAGGAGAGGTTCCCGGTGTAGCGAAGCGTATCTCTGTTTTAATAACAAAGAGGTCGGGCTGCGAGCTCTGCAGGCTGTGGGTGTTTTTATCTCTCTCCACTGTCCCGTTCAGAGGTTGGATCATTATCGTGTTGCCCACACTCGTCATCATGGGTATGAGATTTACCCTTGAGGCAGGTGTTGAATTCTGCTGCAGGTGTAATGCAGAGGAAAGCAATCGACCTGACTGTGGATATGTTGTTTTGACTTTATAAAGGAGTCTTCAGATGAGAAACGTCATTTTAGATTCCAGAGCTGTTTCATGTAGAGCAAGAAGAATTTCAGGACATCCACAGACTGAAGTGTGCGATGATTTCATTTCAAGTATCCACGCTGATGTCCGTGTTCAGCTGAGTGTGAGCCATGCATGTTGGCTGTTCGTGTTCATGAGCTGGATCTGTATGTACTTCAAAGTCGATGTCCCATTAGCCAACCACCAGCTAACAATGTTGTGCTCATGAAAGTGTGATTCATTTTGTGCTTTGTTTTGTGTGTCTTTGTAACAAACGCTGTGACCTGCATTAATGTCACTGAGGATCAGAGTTTGGTATCCAAAGTTATAAAAATCACCGCTGTGCTGGCTAACTGTAAAACATTATCACTTTTTTCTGTGCGTGCAGCTTAGAGTGATCCGTCAGCAGCACATCGACTCTCTCTCTCGCTCTCTCTCTCTCTTTCGCCTGCAGTCAGGTGTGGGTGAGTTACTATGGTTACATGACAAGTCTGTCACTGAAACTTTCTGGCGACCCTTCCTCCCAGTTTACCAATCTTACAAGCTTACAAAAAAGAAACTAATCATTTCAGTCATGTTATAAAATAAAATAAAAAAACTACACATGCCTTTTGCACATTTGAAAAGGTTTGAAGCACAGATCATCATCAGCTCTAAGTCACCGCCAATCACATCACTGAGTTCACGCAGGGTAATACATCCCAAACACGAAGAAGCTGGCTGCTTCATCCTCATGACACACGTGAAAAAACACACCTCAGCATTTACAGTCTGAGTAATCATCTCTCTGCAGTCGTCTTAATGAATCCTTTGGGTCAGTTTCTGTCCGTCGCCTACAGCAATCAATGCCTGCAGCTACTAACTGTCTCTGTTGCATTAACGTGTCAGTCAGCGTGTGGTGAGACGCTGTCTGTGGCGTCAGAGACATTTCCTCTGGGTTGCCCACGGTTACAGGGCGCTCGCTCTGGTCAGGGTGTGGTGGCATCGCTCAGACTGAAACCCGATGCCTCGTTCTGAGATGGATACCTACAATATACCTTTCCTGTTTGGTAAGGAAACCAGTGTTTGGGGGGCGGCTGTGGCTCAGATGGTAGAGCCGGTCGTCTCCTAACCGGAAGGTTAGCGGTTCGATCCCCAGCTCTGGCAGCGACATGTCGATTTGTCCTTCAGTAAGTCACTTAACCCCAAGTTGCTCCGGCTGCTTCGATCGTCTAAATCTGATGAATGGGATCAATTACTTATGATGGTCACTTTACATAGCAGGCTTTGTCATCAGTGTGTGAATGTGTAGGTGTGAGCTGTGCTGTAAAAGAGCTTTGAGTAGTCAGAAGACTAGAAAAGCTCAAGTCCATTTACCAATCCGTCTTCTCAAATCAGGATGCAGGACTCCCCATTTGTTTGAATAGATCCAGCCCAAAGTTATGTTTATATGTAAGTCTTTAAATGTCGTATACAGGACTTAAGGTGTCTTCAAACATGATTGTAAACAACATCTGGTGTGTTGAAAGTGCTCCTGTTTATTGTTTCCCTGATCGGCTCCTTGATATTCAGAGGATAAGAGCCTGTGGGAAGAGGGAAACCTGTTTGTGAATCTGTGTGAGCCGCTCCACATGCACAACATGTCTGTGTTTGTGTTGACAGGTATTTGTTTGTGTGGCCACCTCCCCCTGCTGTTATTGTCATTCATGATGCCGGGGTCTCTCTGCAGCAGCAGCACTGAGGCAGAGAGGGGCTTAAGGGGAAATAGAGCAGCTCAGGGGGGGCTTCCACCTTGTGCTGTGTGTGTGTGTGAAGTGGCTGCTAAGAGGCTGCGAACAGGCAGCGCTTTGTCTGTCTCCCCCCCCCCCTCCACGGTAGAAAGTGGCTCACATTGAGAAACCTCTCTGTGTTACACTCAGAAGAGAGTGAGGAAAAAAAAAGGGGTGTGGGTTTGTCTGTTTGATTAGGATCTGTTTTTTGTTTTTTTTATCTTCCCCAGCCCCAGATCTGAAGTTTCATAGAGAGATATCCCCTCAAATCTGATTGGCAGAACATAAATGTGGCTTTCTAAGAGTGAAGCCAGAGGCATGCAGGTACACGTGAGCTGTATTTGAAACTTCTCGTCTGAAGATCTTGTTGTTGTTTTTGCAGCCTGCGGCAGCTTTGCAGCGAGTTTGTAAAGATGATACAGTGATGCAGTTTAAGGAGCTTCAACAGGAGAAGCTCGCGTACGAACTGAAACTGACGGGAACAAAATTAGATGTTTAGTTTGTGCATGTTTAACACTTTATTAATCTCTTGGTACAATACAAAAAAAGCCTGCGGTTCTGTTTGTTACATGTAAAGTAACCTGGACTGAAACAGACCTTGAACCCCTCGAGTCAGCAAGGCCGCTGACGGTTATGAGTAGCATTTTTAGCTCCTCAATCCCTATTTATGGCATTTTCTGTTGCAACCTTTGTGCAACGAATGATATACTGTTGCATCCTCAGTCCTTGCACAGCTTCATGAGTAGATTCAAACTAAAGCGAAGATAAGAGGCATTACTGGCAAATTCAGCATGAAGACCCTTGAGTTAAAAATAGAAGAGGATGCGTTCACACTCACTAGAAGCCAACACACTCTAAGCTATAAATACTGCCTTTTTAATTTTTTTTATTGTTTCAGTGTGCCGCCCCTCTTTAGAAAATCCCCTCAGCTCCTCTTTTAAAAAAGTTTATTGGTACATTATTAGCGAGAACAAATGAGCAGCTATTCAGCCTCATGGCAGTGTGGCAGTTGTGGAGGAAACAATGAGTCACTATCAGGGAGTGATTGTG